TCTTCGTCCTCTTCGTCCACTAGAATTGACCCATTCCTTCGGAGTTCTCTAATTTTTCTAAATTCATCATAGTGTGCCCTTCTGTGTTCCTTAAAGCTCAAATTCGCCTTATCTGTTTTGAAACCCAACCACTGAACTTGAGAAAAATATCAGACAAGGTGCTATAATTATATATACACACACAGTGGGTTAGTCGCCAAGTTCATCTGGGTTTCTTTCTTTGAAAATGAGATGATAGCCAATATCACCTTCAAATGGATCACAGTCAAACAACACGGAATGTCGGATACACAGCATTGCAAGGGTTAAACCTTAAAAAACCTTTTCAACCAAGCAATGATTACCATGGACTGTTTGATTCTAAGATTAGATCACATCTTATAAAACTGCTTGTGCTTGAAATCCTAGAAAATATGCTACTTCTACTTGAAATCCAAGAAAATACGTAAAGTTGGGAAATGGATGTAAAGTAAGCAAATAAAGGAAATTGGGACCTTCATCATCTTGGTCCATGGCATCTGCTTCATCCTCAGAAGATGTCCACCCACTAGATCGTTGGCTGCTTTTACCACTTGAAGACGCCACATCATTCAATGCAGTTCGGATGGCTTCTGCATGCATTGCATCACCAACACACATGGCAAACCTGTCCCTCACAGGAGAAAGAGAATCTGCATCAAACTAAAAACAATTACAAACATGGCAAACCTGTCCCTCACAGGAGAAAGAGAATCTGCATCAAACTAAAAACAATTACAAACTTGGGGTGCACTATCTTGATACAGTGTTAAAGTAACCAAAACTTACACCTAAACAAATAAATTTGCGTCCATTCCCACCGAGATAGTCAAGGCATACAAATGCTTTTTCACCAATATCAATTTCACATTTATACATTTACCATATTTATCCATAGACGTAGCCAAAATACTCACAAACGCAATATATAAGCCTCCACACACCAACTTGGTCATAGCGTAAAAGTTCTCTCGTAAATTTTCCATATTTGTTAATTCCAATTAAGCAAACATAAATGTCTTAAAAAACAACAACAAGCATATCTAGATAACCTTTTTTTTAACAAAAATAAACATTTGATCTAGAAAATTTACCGAAAAATATCCAATAGAAGATTATTCTCAGATTACATCAGTGAATTGAAATCATAACTAAAGAGGTAATTTCCAAAACTAAATCTTTCAGAATTCATGAAAAGTGCTTTCAATGCAACACAGAAGTTATAAATAAAAATCAAACAAACCAACAAGATATAGTCCTTTTTCTACAGTATATCATACAAAGAAGAAGTTACAAAATTCTTGAGAAGGGAAAAGCAACTTTAAGTTCCTGACGTTTGTCTTAAGTTGCATTTGACTCCTTGAGTTTTCAATTCGACATTTAACCCCTGAGATTTGAGTTTCTCTTGGTCCCGTTAACACATTTGGTCCTTGTTTTCAACTTATAGTTTTGTAAGGCAGACTAGACCTTGAGTTTTCAATAAACATTTTTTTATTGTTTTTATTTTCATTCTTACTCTCTATTTGTTAAGTTGATGTGCAACATATTTATTATATACGTCTTTACCACATCAACAACTTAACAAATATAAAATTAATTCTAAAATAAAGAAAATAAAAACAATAAAAAAATGTTTAATTTTTAATTTTTTAAAATAGTAAATATGTTGCACATCAACTTAACATATAGAATATTAACATATTTTGCCAAGTTAGTCCAAAATTAAAAAAAAAAAAATGAAGAAAATTGACGAAAGGACCAAAATTGTTAACAATAGGAGGGACCAAACACCAAATTATTCCAAACTTCAAGGCTAAAATGTCAATTTTGAAACCTCATACACTCAACTTGAACCAAACCCATACCAAAAGTGCACTTTTCCCATAAAAGAATTATCACAAAAATAACAAATCCTTTGGGTATTACATGCTTCTAATAGAAGAAACGCATACCATCATCTTCAATCATGGGATGATAAGGCGTCTTAGGCTCAGTAATTTTCTGCCGCACAGGTTTATTTGCTTCAATTTGACCAATATTAACTTCATTCCATTTCACACGCCGCCCACGGGTACTACAAGAACATAAAGATAAAGCTCAAATTTTTAGAATAAGTGTGAAATTTATGTTAGAGTAAACCACAGAATACTCCAAGTGATGCAAACTAGAGCTCATGTCTGTTAAGTAATCAACATATTCCATTTTCATTAAAGGAATAGGGACCTGAAATATAATTTCACTAAAGAACAGCTACTCTTGATCTTATTTGAAATTTTAATAACAAATATGTCATCCAGAGACTGAATGGATACATGAACATCTAAACATGGACATTTGCAAATGAAGATTAGGAATGAAAGAATAAATAGCTATATGAAACACCAGAACACCATAGAGACATGAGAACAGAGGAGTTTTATGCACAGATCAAGTGTAAATTTATTTGTGATTTCCTGAAATGTCAAAAGCACCTATACAATTGAATACATATATTTTTTTTTTCTATAAGAAACATCAAAGAAGTATATTCACAAACAGGCTAGGTACAACCTAGGGCTGGGAACCCCCTTATTGTTGCTGGGCAATAGAATTCCAAACCTTGTTAGTTTTTTCTTCTATATAACAAGAACCTCTTTCTCGAAGCTATGAACCCTTTCCCTCAACAGGTTATTGCTCGTGCTAGTCAGGTTGGAGCTAAAACGTGACCTTAATACCAATTAGAGGTAAAGGGTATTTTCAGCTTTCCATTCACTTCTTATTTTTGAGAGGCCAAGGGATTGGGTGAGCCTATGGTAATATGATTAATAGATACATCTTTTAATTTTACTAATGAAAATGATCTTTTCCTAAAAAAGAATAATGGATGAATTAACATAATAATTCCATTTAAGCCCATTTACAGAAGTCTTGAGTTGAGTAATAACATTATAAGCAGCCCCTGGTTAATAACAAAAAAAAAAAAAAAAAAAAAAAAAAAAAAAAAAAAAAAAAAAAAAAAAAAAAAAAAAAAAAAAAAANTCAAAATCATGTATAGGTGTATTTTCATTTGATGGGTGGCTATTATATTTTCTGAATAAGTAATAGTCTAATTCCAAAAAAAAAAAAAAAAAAAAAAAAAAGAAAAAAGAAAGAAAGAAAAAAAAAAAAGAAAAGAAAAGAAAAGAGGAAAAGCAAATCCAAAAGCATTTGACCGTGAAGACACGAGAAAGGAATGAGAGGTTCAATTCATATTTCGGTGGACATTCAAGGAAACAGCCGTGATGCAAAGGCATAAAATACCTCATACCTTTCTGATTCTTTTCTACTCATCTTCACCTCCTTGTGAACCTGTCCATGAAAAAGAAATCCAAAGCAATTGTTAACTAACCCATTTCACAGAACCACCAGAAAGAAGAGAACAATGCTTAGAACTCTTTTGTCGCTCTATCTCATATTGGCAAAACAAAGACCCGTCATTTCTCAGGTTAATTCAACGATGGAATCCACGTCGCCAGTTGTCACTCACTACAATATCAAATATCCTACAAATTAGTTTTATAGCTAATTGTCGCATTACCTTCAGCATCTGCTTCGACCCAAAACAATTTCATCCAACATCCTTCACTTGAATACTCATCGAACCTTTAAGCTAATATTCGTTTTTCCCGGCTCGGATTCGGTAATACATCAATTTCTTAATCTATTTATGCTCCCGAATCAATTTAATGATAAAAAATGTGCGAAATTTCTTCATTTGCATCTTATTATTATTATTATTATTATTTTGCTTATAGATTATCCAGTACAGAAACCGACTTGCAAATAAACAACCGCTCATAATCCTTACGAGAAACTCCATCCATTTTCACTCTCTCCGAATTTCATCGTTTTTCACAGTTCTCCCAAGAATATAAACATCCCGCACATATTCTCCAAATAAAATCTGCAAAGAGGGGAAAAGGCACGAGAGTTTTACCGTTCGTCAACGTCCAGACCAGCGTAGAGTTTGCCACAAAAGCAGAAGTATATCAGAAAGAGGCTCGTGAGGAAAACGAGGAGGCGAAGGATATGAGATCCAAGATCTGCCGATGCTCTCACGCACCAGGGATCAGAAACAGAAAGAAACCGCAACCGCGAAGAGAGAACAGAAGAGATGAGATTGACCGATAAAAGAGAGAGGTGAAAGAAGAAAGAATACGAATGAAATGAGAGGCAGAGGGAACCTCGGACCGAGGCCATCTTCATTTGGGCTTTTCCCGGGAAAACCCAATGGGCTGTGTTATTCGAAGGCCCACTTAAACACACTCTCTAACTTCAAAAGCGATTTGAGCATAAGCTCTCATGACTTTGCTTTGAGCGCCTCATTCCAATGGAGAGTGCATTCTTAGATTATAAATCCCATGACCATTCCCTAAATTAACCAATGTGGGATACTTTCATCTAACGGGTGACACTCGACAACCAGATAATAGAATAAAATATAGCTACTAACTCTATTTATCGCTTAAATAGTAATTTTCACATTTATATTAATTTCGATGGCTAATATTGAGCTGTTGAGCAACGTCACGATGTTAGAGTATGAATGCAGAATAAAGAGGTAAGTGAAAGTGGAAAGAAGAACTAGAGATAAAGAAAATGAGGAAAACAAGTGTGGCAGGTCGAGGGACAGTGTTGAGACACTAAAATATAGCATCTTGACACTGCCACAATCCAGTCAACTATCCTGCACAAGTAATGTTGAGACACCGCTTCACAACATCTCACAGCAACGAACGTGAGGTATTTCGTTAGCTTAGCACTATGGTCTACTGTTCTATGCTTCTTGACGCTTAAAACACACGCCTGTGGCATCAAGACACCATGGACAACATCTCAACATATTCAACAAATTTTGTAGTTTCTTTCACGTGATTTCAAAGTACACTGTTTGGTGAATTAGAAGAGACTTTTTGGAGCTCAAGTGGAAGAGTTTCAGAAGTTCAAGAACATGAAGATCACAATAAGGACGAGAATCAACATACGACGTTTCTAATCTTATTGTGATGGAAAGTTTAAATTTGATTAGAATTTTCCGAAACAAATAGTATTTATACGAGAGAGTAGTTACCATTACCGAGCACATGTCCAATTTGGTTATTTAAATAGACATTAATATTATGAACTTTGATTGAAAGGGATAGCTCTAAGTGGACGAGCCATAACCAAAGTCAAACCAGTCTTCTCCTCCATATTCATAGATTCAGGCTGGATCCCATCTTCAAGCCTCCAATGAAACGAGTGAATCAAAGAAGCAAGAATCCAATGAACCATTTTGGTAGCCAAAGACAAGCCAGGGCAGATTCTCCGTCCAGACCCAAATGGAATCAGCTCAAAGTGCCTCCCTTTATAATCAACGTCCGACCCCAAGAACCTCTCTGGCTTAAACGAATCAGCGTCCTCCCAAACGCCTTTGTCCCTCCCGATCTTCCAAGCATTCACAATAACTCGAGCATTTTTGGGAACCACGAACCCTCCGATCTCGGCGTCTTCTCTTGCTTTGTGTGGCAATAGAAGAGGGGCCGGCGGGTGAAGCCGGAGAGTTTCTTTTATGATTTGTTGAAGAAATGGTAGCCTTACCCAGTCGGATTCGTCGACTGCCGTGCCTTCTCCGATCACTTCTTTCAGCTCTGCTTTGGCTTTTGATAGTACTTTTGGGTTTCTTAATAGCTCGGCCATTGCCCATTCTACGGTTGATGTCGTCGTGTCGGTCCCCGCTGGAAATAGGACCTAAGTAATGACCAAAACAAACGATGATGTGCAATTTTACTCTAAATATTAGAGTTTAATCCCTACCTGCATAGAATAGAATAGAAGGGAGGAGGGTATTTACAGTGGAGACTAAACTAAACCGTTGGAGGGTATTTCTACTTTATTCTTTTCCTAAAGAAGAATTGGAATTTCTAAGGTTTGGCCAGAGAAGCGAGGACGGTTCGAACATTAGAAGTAGCAGGGTCAAGGTAGCATTCCCTGCCGCAAAACTCTAATATTTAGTAAATTCTTTGACTAAGGCCTAGAATCACTCTCGAGAAAAGGCCTAATTTACATATGTGTGTATGCAAGACCGCCCATGTAGTTCAAGGCAGGTAAGGGCTACTCGGGAAGAAGGCACCATCACTCTGTCTCAAAGGCAGGTTTAGGTATCTTTATTCCTAAAATACCTAAATCATTTTCCTAAAATAAATAGACAATGGACTCTGTACAACGTACAATTATTGAGTTAGTGATGATATTTTAACAAGGCTAAGACGTGCGTGTGTGTGTGATAAGTAGATATTATGTAAGGTGGTTGAAACGTATATTAAACGAGCAGATGTTACCAATATCAAATGTTTGATCAAATGTAGGTGGAACTTGGCATCTTCACTCTCTTTTGCAAGCTTGAGAAGGTTATGAAGCATGTCATTTTCTTCCCCTAAATTTGGCTCCTTCATCCGCCTGTCAATCATGTCATCAATGATATCTAAGAACTTGTTCATGTGAACCATCATACGCTTTCGGCATCCTTGGAGGTCCATCTTCCTCAACATGGGGAAAAGATCTCCAACATTTGATCTTCCAGCCTCCTCCATTATACTCCAAACAGCCTCCTTAAATTCTTGCCCCTTTTCACAAATATTCGAGTATTCATCACTCAAATCCACCGAAAAAATCATCTTGGAAAGCATGTCGAGAGTGGTCACAAACACAACTCTTTCAATGTCTACAGCCTCACCTTTTGTAGCGCTTTCTTGAACATCAACTAAAAGACGTTGGATTCTCTTAAGACGAACTGTATAGTTCATGTGGAGGATGTTCTGGGAAAACATGTGATTGTTGCATAGTTTTCGAAGGGTTCTCCACAGGTCGCACACGGGAAGCCAGGGTAGTGCTACCTCATGGTGGTCATAAATTGTTGTTGCATTGGGATACATTCGGTCGCTCAATACTTGGTCATGAGATTGGAGGACTTGCTTGGCCATGGATGGGGAGGATATCACTATTGAGGTCATTTGGCCTAGTTTTAGGGTCATGATGGGGCCATAGGAGTCGGCAAGTTTGGCTAGAGATTGGTGAGGGTTATGACCAATCTCCATCATATTTCCTATGAGAAAGTAACCTTTGGGCCCTGGAGGAAGTCGCTTTGGGTTGATTTTTCTAGCAAGTGAATGGAACAATAGTAGAAGGGGGAAGAGAAATGGGAAGAGAAGAAAGAGACTGCATCCTATTGTAAGCTCCATTTTCTCTTTCACTATGTCTCCCTCTCTTTGCCATTTGGGTTGCCTTTTTATAACACAAAATTAATTGAATTGGTGGTTGTGAGGTCTTATCCATGATATTTTCTTTTAGTTTTTGTGGTTGTCAAAATTTGCATGCCAAAATTGGTTCTACCGTGTTTCCCATGGTTCCGGAAAAACTAAACTAAAAAAACGTGCCGTTTGAAATCAAGAAAAGAGATTTAGTGAGTGATGGCCAACCAACAATCTTATGTTGTTTGTGACTAGTGAGTAATGAATAAACTACATTGAAAAAAAAATATCGAAATCAATAAAAGAGAGGGAGTGAGTGATGGACAACCAACAATCTATATGTTGCTCGTGAGTAATGGAAATCAGAAAAACTAAACTAAAAAACTTGTTGAAATCAATAAAAGAGAGCTAGTGAATGTGAGCAGCCAACAATCTAAATGATGCTTGTGAGTAACGGAAATTAGAAAAATTAAACTACAAAAACCTGTTGTTAAGCTTGTTCATGGATGAATGAACTATGATCGTAATGAAACATGTCAACTATTACTTGGTGTAACGAAACATGTTGGGTTAGTAAAAGAGAGCTAGTGAATGATGAGCAACTAACAATCAATATGTTGCTCGTGAGTAACGAAAATCAAAAAAACTAAACTATAAAAACTCATTGTTCAACTATTACTTGGTATAACATAACTAGTTGAGCTAGTCCTACAAAATTGGGATGGCCATGAGTTACAAAGTTGGATAACTATGTGCTATATATCAATTGATTTCAAATTTATGTATATATATATATATATATATATATATATTTGTATATAATTGATTTGAAATTTAGTATTTAATACAGGAAGAGAAACGAGTTTTCGTAATTAAATCAACTACACATGTACTAACTAAAATCACCATAGATTGGTTTTTAGATTGATCTTTTGATGTCATATACTTACAAACATGGACATGGAGAGGGTGGATACTAATTTATTCCACTCTGAGCATATTGAGGAATAGGAGGACAATAATTGAGCCCTAATAAGTCGTTCCATCTTAATGCTCATGATATTAACCTTTTATTCATGCCTGTTCTATCAACATGTAATGTTTTTTAGGTCGACCCCTTAATTTCATTTGATTACAAACATGGATGTAGACAGCATGAACAATAATTGTACCTGAGATTATATGGGCATCAAAGAACAATAATTTTACGCAACTGGTCTTTCCATCTTCATAATCTTCATAATTTTGATATCGACCTCTGATCCATGATATCTTCATCACCTGTTTTACCACCATATAATGTTTTTTAGGTTGATCCCTCAATGTCATATGCTTATAAACATGAGTGTAAAGAGCATATACAATAGTTCGAGCACTAAGGTGCTCGAAAACCAACTCATGTTTGGACTTTTTTTTTTAAAAAAAAGACATATCGTTAACTGAATAAGCGAATTAAAATGAGTAGTCGACTCAACAACCTTGCTTACATAAGGACATGCCTTCTCTCCAAGAGGTGACATTGTCCTCTTGTAAGTAACGTTAACTTTTGAAGAGAGGACCTTGCTAATACGAAGATATGTAATCACTAGAGGTCGACTTTGCCTACAAGAAGGCAAGAGACAACATGCTTCCACCTGAAAGAGACGTCCTCGTCTCAACAATAGTGTTTTGATTCTTATCTTTTCAATCTCACAAATCATTTAGCAAAAACTAATGTCAAATTAGAACCTAACACTTGACCTTAAAAATGTACGTTGATAAGGTAAATAAACAAAAGACATACCTATGTCATATTTTAATAAAATATCTTACTAAAATTGATAGCAACTATGGTTCCCTACTCAAAGTATAGAGATTCAAATGAAATATTGAAAAAGTAAGCAACCATACATATTTTGAGACTAAAACAGGATTTAAACATATATAAAGATGAATGAATGAATAATTTCATTCCACCTTTCTGATTGAACCTTACCCAGAAAAGATATGGATGGATTTCACCTTCACAGAAAGAGTTCATGTTGTTTGGCCTGTCACTGCAGATCCTGAAGCGCGGGATCTTTCCTTCACCGATGGTTGTGGTTCTGATAGGAAAAAAACCATAATAGGGATTATACATTGCACCAAAGAAGAGAAAAGAGAATGAAAACATCTCTATTACAAAAATTAAAACATGCTTGGAATATTAAGTTTTAAGTTATTCGAAGACATGGTTCAAGTAAGGCCGTATATTAAGTCATCGATGGCAAGCTCTCGTTTTGTTATTAACTGAGACGTACTTAGTGTACTAGTAGAGAATTGGTCCATTGTCAGCCTTGGAAGAGATAGCCCTCTCGGAAAACTAAAGCTCAGCATAGCTTATTTTTTGTAACATTAGTACAATTTCAGCACCCACTTTCATCTCATCGGGTTCTTCTTATACCTCATTTGTTAAGAATCATGACCCTTCATAATAGTATGATATTGTCCACTTTGAGCATAAGCTCTCATGGCTTTACCCAAAATACCTTATACTAATGAAGATGTATTCCTTACTTATAAACCAAGATCAACCCCTTAATTAGCTGAATTAGCTGATGTGAGACTCCTCTCCCAACAAACCTCAACATCATTAATGCTTGGAAGACTTCATACATTCAAGGCCGGATCCCGAGATGATTACCAGGTTACTTTAGCTACATGTAAATCATCAAGATCAACAAGAACATTTGTGAAAGAGATGAACTATGAAGTTACTGAAGCATTATCAAAATCCACGCATAACAGTCAAGGTTTTAGTGCATAAAAATCCTTATTGTCTTTCTATTCTGGGTTCCAGGGCCCAGAACACGAGTCTAAATCAATATCTATTGACGTCCAGATTGTTCCCTGTTATCTATGTTCTCAGCTAGAAACAAAACACAGTGAAACTACCATTTGGTTTTACATTGTTTTTTTCTGAAACTGGATTTTCTTTACCCATAAATTCGCTATTGTATAAGCTTGTTTTCAAAGTAAAAATTTCAAATTCTGGCCAAATTTTAGAAACTTACTGGATATGAGGGCCTTTGGTCTGGTCTTAAACAGAAACCGCTGCCTGATTATCCCAATGACTTCCAACTCTGCAGTAGCTGATTTGGTATCGCCACTCTGATCCTCATCCACGCACTTCTTTTTCTTCAACACCAACAATGGCTTCTTCAGTGGCACTTTGCTTCCTGTCAGCTCATGGTACCCTACCGTAAAAGTATACACTTCCTACAAACCAATCAATCAATTGAAATAGTTAGAAGCAACTAATGAAATGCAACAAATTACCTCAGCAATGAAAAACAAAAATACTTTAGGAAATGGAAATCACTCTTGGAAACTGATTTAGCAAGGTGAAGGAGAAACCGATTATTGTGCCGTAATGCCACAACCTTCAAAATACTCTGATACCAATTGTTGTACCCAAATGCCACAACTAAACTGTTCTAATACTCAATTGTTGCAGCAGAATACCACAACCAAAAATGCTTTGATTCCCAATGATGGTAGCGGAAGTAGAAGCAAGATTGATCACACTCACACCCCAGAAATAGAAATTAAACAAAAAGACACAGATTTAGGTGATTTGGAGAGAAGAAATTCTCCTACATCTACGGGTGGTAGTCAATCACAATAACTAAAATATTTACAAATGTATCTCTCACACTACAAAGTCTCTCGACAAAAGTTCCTCTAAATTCCTCTTAATTGCCTCTAAGCAAATACAAAATAGCAATGACTCCACGTCTCAAAATAATACTAGACAAGCTATTTGTGTAGGCATAGCAATACTAATTCTCATACCTAAATCATAAATGAGAATATGAACAAAAGGGTTATAAACAAATGAGAGTTAATACGAATATGAATTAAAATGGTTATGAATTCATAACCAAAGTAAATGAGCTAAGACAACTTACAACACCTATATCAATTCAATCGATCCAGTAACTAAATCCTCCTCCGAACCTAACTAGTCTAAAAATTTCGTAATCTTGTCAGGGAATTCAATTCTAGGGCTACAATGGGAGCTGAGAATGAGGAAAACAAGAAGAAATTGAGAGAAATGCTAAAAGATCGATCTATGAGAAAGGAAAATTTCAATACCTGAGCGGAAGGCCGACATAGAACGCCGATTTCGAGGGTTTGAAAGCGATCTTCGAAGGAGGGTTGAGCTTCAACTATGCCTTGCAACTCAACGACGGCCCATTCCAAGCATTTGGTTTCGCCACAGTTACATTTCACCTTAATCTGCATCTTCCTACGCCTTCCGATTCTTGATTCCGCTGCTTTGAGGTGAAAAAAGAAAACACGAAGCTCTGATGACTGATGAGGAAGACGACACAGAAACTCGCAAAAACGGCGCGAAATCTGAAAGCTCTTCTCGCTTTTCTTGGAAAACTAGGAACGACGTCGTTTAGATAGTGAAAAATTAATATTTTATATTATTTTAAAAATTATTTAATCAATTATTAAAACTTTTAATCATATATTTAAGAGGAACTAAATAAAATAATTGATTTATTCGACAGTTAAATAAAATTATAAATATTCTGTCATTAATAAAAAATCTATGAATTATATAAAAAAAATATATATAAAATTTTAATTTAACTTGTATTAATAAATTGATTAGAGACAAAATAGTACGAGAAAATCAATTATTCATATCATAAAAATTAAAAAAATATGATTTTTAATAATATACATTAAAATTAAAGGACCAAATTATTATTATTATTATTATTATTTTTCCTAACATAAAGTATATAAACAGGTCGAATTTTGTTTTCCTTCGGAGGTTTTATTTCTTGGTGTTGCCGTTCAAGCCCTAGTACTAGCACCACACAATCTCTCCAAAATTATTCCCAAGAATCTCAAAACCCCTTTTTAATCTCTTGAAGACTGAATTTCAAGTTACTGAATTTGGATCGTTCTTTCAAGTAGTGGTTTCCTTGTCTTCTGTGATCCTCTGGAAAGCATTTCGTCAGCATGGACGCCCAGAGAGCTCTTCTGGATGAACTCATGGGTTCAGGTACTCTTCTGATTCGACTTGTTATTTTTCTTTGGAAATTTTCGTTTCAATTTGATAACATTTACGTGTTATTGATTTTTTGATCTTGTGGAGTATCTAGTTGGAGGGGAATGGAAGTGTTTCTATTAGTTTAGAGGAATTTGGAAGGGAATGTGGGGGTATTATCCACCAGGCGTGCAGTTTTTCACTTGATATTCCCCCTTTTGTGATTTCCAACATGAGTTTTCTATTTGTAATTTTCTTTTTTCACGATTCTTGTTGCCATTTGATCTTTGTTGGTGCTTTCTTGTATTTTCGTGTGGCTGATGAATTCCTTCAAATTTCCACGGCGGAAGTTGTCTTTGCTTCAAACGAAGTGACTGATTTTGCATCTGTTTTGGTTTTTTTAG